CCAGTGGCTGAGAGACAGTTTTGCAGGACACCTGTGTCATCAATCCAAGGAATCCTTCTTCAGGAGTTTTGTTGGGCTCCAGTGCAGTTCCTTTGTCCTCATATGTGAGACGATCAGTGGTTACCAGATCAACCAGATGAAAAGCAATCTATTGAGTCAGCCGGTTCAAATCACCACGGACTGAGGGGAGCGGAGACCCACCAGATTGGATAAGTACATCTGAGATGACATACATGCTCTCTTTCCATGGCTACCTATAATTCACAGTGATGAGTCATGTACTCTTTTGAGAACTTAATCCGGCTGTTTCAACATCATCGCTGTGACGTTAAGTCCTGAACTCCATTCACTGGAAACCATCTTGATTGTCTGTTTTATATATATATATATATATATATATATATATATATATATATATATATATATATATATATATATATATATATATATATATATATATGTATATGTTGAAATTATTACAACCTTTTCATAAATTTTCACGGCTGACTTGGGTGTCCCTGTTTCACCATTCTAACTGTCAAGCTTTTATGTTTGTGTGATTAGTAAGTATAATCTGTGTTAACATGGCTATGATAGTATACTAACATAACCTGGGGGCTATCTTTTCATAGTAGTGGGGGTGTCCAGCCAAGTGTGCCTAGGAATATTAGATATTCTCTAGTGCCAGAGCTTGAGTTGCCCTACTCCTGAAATAATTTGAGCGTATACTGGCCACGGGATCTCCCTTAGAACAATACGAGCCAACACCTCAAAATTATTATTTCAGTGCTGTTGGTTCTTAAGGAGAAATCCTTAAATCAGGCACGCGACACGAGCGTATGAGACACATGGTACTTGAAACATGAAGTAATACACAAATTTAAATGTAGTACGCAAAAAACTGAATTCCAAAATTCTACAGTCATTAAACATACACCCTTTATAATGAAAAAAGTACCTGAACCAAGACGTTTTATTTTAATTGTTGAACACCAGAAATGATAAGTTATATGCGTAACAAAGACAAATAGAGAAATAGGAAGTGTGAAGAAAATTAAAACAATTCCTAATAGACTACAAACATTAATTAACCGGTGTTTGCGCAGAGGAGAGGTGATTCAATGCTATAGAATCAGCAAAGTAGAGCTTGACAGAGAATTACATTTATTTTAGGAATCAAGAAATGAGGAAAAGATGCTTGTTTTGACTGAGACATGTATTGAGACACACACAAAAACAACCAGAAAATCAGATGAAAAAGATGGAGAGGATATGCGGTAAGCTGCACACGAGGGCAAAGGATAGGATGACTTGGTGTGAGTTAAATAGTTAAATGATGGATTATGTTCGCTGCAGGACAAAGAAGAAGAAAACTACATGAAATAAGACTGTGTTTACTAAAACTGCAAGAGAACACACTCAAAAAAGATATAAAAATAAAAATGCCTTGTGTCCAGCTGCTCAATGTAGAAAAAAAGTGTACAATGCAGAAAAAAAAGTAAAGGTCCCTTTACCATGCCTCTAGGCGTAATGGGTATATAGGGCTAGACCTATATTTTTTTAGAATATTCGGCACAAGATGTGTCACGTGGTCAGCATCATGCCGGCCACCTTTACTTCCCAGGACTGCACCCAGTAACCACTCAAAGCTGGGTCGACCTGGGAGTCAAAGTATTTTTTTTTAAAGTCCGGCTCCATCAGGGAGTGAACCCAGGACCTTTTGACCCAAGACTTTCTGATCCGCATGCGAGAGTCTAGCCGCTACGCCAAGGCAACTCCCAATGTAGAAATAATGATAGCAAAAACTGAATTTCAAGGAATTATTGTGGCAACTGAAAAATGGCTGGTATCTTCTAAGTAATCTTACTGTCATTATCAACTCTCACAATAGGAAAATACATTGTGCTTATTTTCCACCAAGCAGGAGAATTTGAAAGTTGTTATAAAGGGCATCACAGCAGGTTATATTTTCTAGTCAATACTATTCTAAATATCTTGAAAAACAAACAAAAACAACCTATTCAAACACTGAATACACATGAAAGAAAAAGTCATTATGAACAAACAAAGCTTTTATAAATCCGTGAAACATTTTTTTGCACAAGGTGTTACAAATCATCAAATATATTTATTTTCAAGAACTAAAATTTCTAGAACAAACTTACTGCCTCAATATGAGGCAAGAATCTTGTAAGAATTAGAAATAATTAAAATTTCTGCGCATTATTTCAAAAAAATCTAATTTGTTGTTGTTGGTACATTCCCCTTCAAAACTGCCATCTGAAAGAGTGACATCCCTGACCCAAGGAGCCACTTTTTGGAAGTGAATCCAAGAGCAGCAAATTCCAATAACCCTATTCAACCATTTTAAAAAAGTTATACTTGAGCACTCTGCCATTACAAAACAATCTGCCAACCTATAAGCTGAGTGTGAGAGCTTAACAAAAACCATATGATTCTCACACACTTTGTACTAAATATACAACTATCCTACAACAGACAGTGAGGTTCATACTAGAGACAACATTGCAGATATAGATAATCTATTCCATGCGATCGAAACAAGAAGGAAAAAGCAGAAAAACAACCATCCTTCCCACTGCTTGCAACAACAAAAACTGGTCAATCAGTAGTGAAAGTTATTTATACACATTTGATAGTAATTATATTTTTTTTTTAAAACAAAGAAACATGAAGCTTGACTTGTATATTTCTCGTTAACAAAAGTCACACACACTAATTCTAAACTGTACTTCAATTAAACTCTCTCACTCCAACAATCTGTGCATAAGAAGGAGGTGCAGTAGCTATTTTAAAGCTCCCTGCCGAGACATGAGAATACGGAGGTGGTGATCTGACAGATGGTGTATATATGGTGTTACTGCCGGACACGTATCTTCCCGCTGCTGCAATATCTGGATACATTCTCTGGGGGAGAAATGAAACTTGAGAGTTATAAAACAAAAAACAATTGTTATGATTTATATGTGGATTAGGAGGTGTGAACTAGATGGACAAAGTACTGCTCTTCTTGTCTGACAGTCTCTACAGCAAGCTTTCCCCCCAAACTTTGTGTTATCTTTCATTTTGAATTTAACAAGGCAGGCTAAGTGAGGGATCATGCTGCATGAGAAACAAACAGTCTTTACTTATTTTTGTTAGCATTCATTGGCTGTTAACTACAGCAGAAAGTTCTGGTTGTTTGTCCACTTCCAGACCTTGGTCTTGTTCCAGAATTTGAGTTTTGCATGCACATTCCTTCTGAAAGATCTGGATTTGTATGCAGATTATTAGTCCCTCGCCTCTCAGGCAGAAGAACTCGTGATTTCAAAGGAAATACTGTACCACTAATTATTCAAGTATGCATGTTTATACGACAGTTGGTTTGTTTGTTCATTCCCCCCCCCCCCCCCCCCCCCCCCATAAGGGCCCACAAACCTACACAAGGGGATCTCATCAATACTTCCCATGATTTGTGCTATGGAGGAGAAACTTCATCCCAGGCCTTAATTGGTATGGGCTGCGAACCTCATACTTCCCAACAGCACAAAGGAACACTATCATCTGGAAAGATGCCAAAACTAAACAGGGGATTACAAATGGAGTTTCCTCTGTGTGTGTGAGTGAGAGAAAAAAAAGAGAGAGGAAGAATGAACTATATTTCCGAAGGGTTACAAACTAGCCACACAGACCTGTCTTAAATGTGGCCATTTCAAGCGCTCCTCTTTCACACGGCAATTGTATTTTATAAATCAAGCATATTATGTTTATACATCCAAATTCACAGCATGGATGTGAAGAAAAATAAAAAATCATGAATAGCAAATGCATTTCCTCAAATATACAGACACACACACAGTCACCTAGGTGGTGGAGGAGAGAGAAAAGAAATTATTTTTAAATGCCAAAAAACTGAATGTGCTCCTATGCTTCCCTGGCCCCAAAAATAAGTGACCCCCCCCCCCCCCCCCCCCCCCCCAACTAGCATGTAGTAAAAAATGACTATTTAAGGATTTGCAGAAATCAGAAGTGTTGGACCAAAAGAAACAGATATGGCTGCCTAGCTATAAACCACAACACATAGTAACTGTCCTTTTAAGGGCAAATAAGACAACTCCTGCTCTGTTTCCCCACTCTGAACTCTCTTGTTGTCAAGATTAACTCCACCTTCACCCTTCTTATGGCGAGCTTAAAGAATATAGAATGTTCGCTTCCAGAAAAAAAAAACACACATTAACTAAGCCAGAAACCACTTACCACTGCTCCATCTTCCTTGAGAGTTGTGTAACTGTAATCATTAACAATGGCACCACTAGTGGACAGAATTCTGTACCTCCACAGACAAGCACATATGGACAGAAGAAACAAAAAGAAGAGCACACCGCACCTAAAAGTAGAAATGGAGCGCTGTGAGTTTTTCCAGTTTTATAATTTACAGTTTAGGTATTAAATAATATCAGCAGTCTTAATTTAGCTCTGAGGAGAAAAAAAATAACACGAATATCATCATGTTGATATTTCATGAGAAATCTGAAGTATATTTAAAAAAACAGATAAGCAGGGAGGGAAAGAGAGGGCAGGGAAGATCAAGATACAAGATCCAGAACAGGTTGGTTCATGGAAAAACTGCATAAGAAACAATTAGCAGTACATAAGACAAGGCTGTGTGCAACTATTCTGACCAATACCACACGGCACTGACTATAAAGAAGAAGCAATGTCACGCAGCAGAGATGGTCATGTTCCACCACTACCATTGATTATCTCTGTAAAACTGATGTAAAAGTACTGATGGTCTCTGATACCCCATAGAAAACCATTCACTCTTCCATTCCATTCTATCCTGTGCAACTGTTTCAATGTCAGGAATGGAATCCAGCCCAGCACCTTTGGCCTCTCTCATCAACATTCATCTCAAGGCTTCTTTTGGACATATTCCTCTTCTTCTTTGTGTTTGGTTTCGTATGCTCAGATCAGACCATCAGGTGGGTTGCCTCTATGAACGCGCATGTCAGTAGCAGGTCCTTCATGGTTCCCCATTGCTTGCTCTGCACACTTTGCTCTTGAGGCCAGGTGTCTTTATGAAGTTGTAGGTGGAGTGGGCAGAATGTACTCAGGTGTTTTGTGGTCCTGTTTGACAGGCACACTGTGGTGACTATACAACCTTTATTTTATGGATGTGGTAGTTGAGATTGCAGTGTCCTGTTCGTAAATGGAAAATAGTTGTATGTTGCTTTCTGTTGAGTCTGCTGATGGGGTCTTTTGGACGCTTACTGTTTGTTCTCTCCACAATTCCTTGTATTTTCCCTTGATAAGTGTTCTAATGTCTGGTAATGACAATGGATGGATGCATTGTTTCTCCTTTGTTCCATTCTGTGCAATTCTGTCTGCTAACTTATTTTCTGGTATGCCGCGATCCACTAGAGAATGATTTGATTGTTTTCTGTGATTTTGTTTAGCAGACGGGTCAGTTCTCTCTCCATGTTATCTCGTGGATCACTCTGAGTCGCCTTTAGGACTGACGTGCAGTCACAAAGAAAAACAATTTTGCTCTTTTTAATTTTTCTTTCCTCAAGCACTTTGGCTGAACCAACAATTCCTTGCTGCTATGCTCTGAAGTTTGTTAAAAGTCTTCAGGAGAAGCACGTTTCTATGGATATATTCAAATCCTCAATGAAGCTCTGGTTGTTAATCTACTTCTGATCGTTAGTTGTGTTCCAGAACTTGAGTTTTACGTCTACATCCATTTCACAGGAATGAATGAGTTTAAGGCAGCTTTTCACAAATATCAGAAAGCAGTGATCATTATTTGTTGGTATAATTATTAAAAGAAAAACTTAGAATATATTGTAAACACTGGAATCCTTAATGACGCCTCACATTAATGCAACAATCAGAAACTGTCTTGCATCATAACATATAAACATTTCAACTTATAAACATTCAGCTGCAGATCGAGACAAACAGAAGTATAACTGTTTTTGCCAATCAGTAAGCTGCAGGATGATCATCACAAAGCAATCGACGCTGTACTGTTTTATTTAGCTTTAACTCTTTCAGTTCCAAGGAATGCATCATACATTCATAGGCTCCTACCTAGAAGCCCAATGAAAGCAAGATGCACTGATTTAACGTCTCTCTTGACTACTCCTTGGGCCTCTGATGCTAAGCCCCCTGGGGCTAAGAGTTAATGCATCCTAGTTTGACAAGTATTTTTGTTTGCTTACGCCCCAGTTTTCGGTTTGGGTGGATATGGCGAGACGTGTTTCCTTCTTTCTTGCTTTAAGACTGTTGATCAACGACACAACAAGTAGGCAACGTAAAAAAACCTTTGTTTTAGAATCAGATTCTAGCTCTAAATCTTACGATATATGACTTAGAAGAATACTAAATCTCTACTGGACAGATTTCAGATCCAATACGTAAATAAGACAAGAGACCAAGCAAGACAAGGTATCCAATTTAATAAGAAAGTGCCGCTAGAACTACAGGGGCCATGCACTCAGAATGGATAAGACAAGACTTGCCCATCAAGCCCTCAAATGGACACTGGAAGGGGGAAGAAAATGGGGAAGACCCAGAGAGACTACGTAGAATCATTGTCAGGGAAGGCATCGTCATGGGCCTAACAAATATCTAAGACCTAAAGCAGGTGGCAACAAACCACCAGACATGGATAGCTATGACCTCTGCCCTAGATCCAATATGGGAAACCATACTATCAGCACAGAACATGAGGTCAATGCAGTGCATTCCCTGACCTGTCTAACATAGGAAACCATACTATCAGCACAGAACATGAGGTCAATGTACAGCACAAGCCATTCTAATACTATAAGGTGGAGACATAGCTGGCTTTTTACCCCAATAGGACATCAAGCTGAGCAATAAACACCTGGTGACACAAAATAAAGAAATATATGTCCTGCACTTTCAAAATATGCTTCTAATTAGGGAACCTAGAAAACAGAAGAACTAACCAGAAATACCAAAGGTCCCAAACTTTGTATGATGGACAGCACATGTTGTCACCACAGCAGTATTCTTCCTCTGTACATCTAATAAGAAAAGAAAAACATTTAAACTAGCATTCAAAAGACTTTTCAAAAACTGTCATCTATGGAACAATAATTGAACTATAATGATTATGTTTTGTGCGCACATCTGTTTAAGAGATCTAGTTTATTAGTAGGCAGATTGTTGACTTCTGGTCTCTCAGGCAGACTGTTGACTTCTTGGCATATAATCTGCCTTTGAAGGAAACACCCATATTTAGCCACTTTTAACATCATGTTTGTTTGGGTGCCAGTGAACCTATCCTCACCTCCCCTCCCAATGGTGCCACATGGGGAGGTAAATGTTAAAGAGAGAAAATCTAGTTCATTGCACCGGGTTTTATCCCATATGGCCCAGTCTCTCCCTGCAGAACAGCTAGCTGCCTGCCGAGAGTGTCGTGCAGAGCATGACCTCAGTAGCTCCGCGATAATCCCTAGGAATCTCCGTAAAAATTGTACCTTTAAACTGATTAGTGCCGCCATGGAGCGAACCCACAACCTTCAGAGCAGGAGACAAATGGCTTGACCACTTCGCCATGGAGATTCCCACACAGGGAGAGAAGTAATCATACTCTCTCAACCTGCTTCTTTTTCTGCCAAAGATGAATTAATGTACTGCACACTCTCTCCTGCCGGTGGACAGGGGGAAGACACATGCAAAAGTGCCCCCCCCCCCCCCCCCCCCCCCCCCCCCCCCCCCCTCCCCCCCCCCCCCTCCCCCCCCCCCCCCCCCCCCCCCCCCCCCCCCCCCAAAAAAATGATTCTATAATAATGGACTCAAGATCAATAATTGGTATTGCACACTTTCTAGTTTCTGTGCTTGGAAAGGTGGACAATTATGCAACAGTACCCATGGAGATGGTACTACAGTACCGGACTGAAGACCAATTACTGGTACTGCACACTCTTTTAGTTCCTGCACTCAGAAAAAAAAAAGAGAATATAAATATTTTTGCAACACTGTCAATGGAAATGATACTGCAATAGTGAATTGAAGATCAATTATTAGCACTGCACTCTGTATTTCCTGCAACTGGAAAGGGGAAAGACAAATTTACATCCATGTCTGGGGAGATGGTATTTTGGCACTATGCTGAAGATAAATTACTGGTTTGCACACCCCTCTAGTGATGCATAAAATCCCCTATCACAAAACCATAGACAACTGTACTGCAGAGACTCTGCATTCAAGTTTTGTTGGAGGAGTAAGATACCAGACAGCAAGTGACTAAAATGATGCAGCAGATACAGCAAGGGACACAACTCAAATTGTTTTTAAAAACAGGTAAAACTGTTTTGAACTTTTAGGTTTTATCCCCTTTGACAGAGAGCGCAAACCAGACACTTCTGGCTGAGTACACCCCCCCCCCCTTTCCCATGAATGTCAGTACCACAGTGGCTTGTTCACTTATAACAGGATTTGTATCGACACTATGGAATAGGGTAACTGGGAATGATTTCATTTGCTGAAAACAGCATTCAGGTGGGGGTTATGTGGAAAAATTGACTTTTTATACAAATTATCACCTCAGAATGTCCCATTAATCATGGTGATAACTAATCTACCGGATTACGGGGTCAAGAATGAGTCAGGGTATATGTTCTTTAGGCTCAAAAAGAGGTAGCCCAGTTAACTGCTGCAGTAATCACTCCTTTAAAAAAAAAAAAATTCTAGTCTTTTGTAGTCCAGAAGTGGAATATTTAGAACTATATTTCTGATCTGCATCAAAACGCTGTCAATAATAACATTTTAACCCTTTCACTTCATGTTCATAATCAGACATTTGCCGTTTTCTTCATGTTCACAATCTGACATTCTCCTTCATCTTCGCGTTCACAATCTGACCTTCTCTATTTTCATGTTCACAATCTGACATCCTATAACGTATGCATACAACTTACTTGTCATTATCACAGTAATAAGCACTAACCTGAAACAAACAGAAAAGTTTTAAATTTTTTAAATCTTATATTAAAAACACACAAGAAATATGAGAGTACAACAACCATGCATCTGCAAAAGCAGTTGATACAGCAGTTAAATAAAATTGCTGTTAACAGAGTTACTATACTACCATAAAGTGTCGAGCAGCGGCTGGTCAAACAGATAAGATTCCTGGTTCTTATGTGGAAGATCTGGGTTCAAATCCCCAGTAAAGTTATGGGTTTGATCTGTCAGGGGTAAAATTTAAATCATAATCTGCAGTCCATGCCAATACACTCACCATGGGGCCCTAAGTATTCATGCTTAACGACTCCCCAATCTATATCCATAAAAGTGGTAAGTACAGGTAGTGATTGTATTTTAGCACAGCAGTTTAAACACAGTTAACATCAAGAGAAAGGCTTAACGTAAATAATTTGTGTATTGCACACATATACACACCATGTTCAGTCACCCAGATCTTACTGCTGAGAAACTTTGCAATTATTTACAAGTTATCCTAGTGAGATCGTATTCCTTGTTATGCCCAAGTGATTGAAAAGTGGTTGTTTACAGACAAATATATCTGTACTCAAAGAAAATGTTGATGTAAAGGGAAACCTGTGTATGTATATGCACGCTCATGTGCATATATATATTTAAAACAAAGGAACTGTGATTGAGTTAAGGCTAGATGCTTACCTTCTGGCCAAAAGTCTTGGTTTTGAATCCGTATCAAGTCTTATATTTTTCTTTTCAAAACTGAATTTGGCTCCTAGGTCAACTGAATTTAAATTGGGTACAAGAGACTAACAGTCTGCATACAAATAAACCAGATCTGTTAAATGGATGTGTACATAAAAATAGAAGTTCTGGAACAAGACTCAAGTCCTGAAGTAGATAAACAGCCAAAACCTTCTGCTGGAGTTACAGCCGGTGAACTTAAAGAGATAGATATGTGTGTGTGTGTGTATATATATGTGTGTGTGTCGGCTCTGTGGCTAAGTTGATGCGAACGCTTCGTAATGTCGGGATGCAGGGTTCGATTCCAGCTGCGGGCTATGCGCCTTGCATTGGTTTTGACAGTTGTATCAAGAAAGACGACCATCAAGAAAGCAATGGCAAACTACTGGACATAAATTTGCCTAGAAAAACCACACAACAGCCAGGGGCTGTTGGGGTTGGTTCTGCAACATCCTGTAAAGAATACGCAACTAACATATATGTTTATGTGTGTGAGTGTATGTATATATATATATATATATATATATATATATATATATATATATATATATATATATATATATATATATATATAATATATATATATATATATATATATTTATATATATATATATATATATATATATATATATATATATATATATATATATATATATATATATATATATATATATATATATATATATATATATATATATATATATACATACACATGCATGCATACACACACACACAGAGTTCCGTTAAGGCTTGATCTAATATAAAGTAGCCCACCTTTATTATATCAGACGACACACAGATTGCTAGGTCTACCTATAGAGGAGCAGCATACACACTAAGAGGTACTCACTCCTCAATACATACAGCTTAGTAGTACCTCTAAACATAACAAATGCATGTGCACACATACAATAGGCGAATTAAACCAGTGTCTAAAAATGTCAGCGAAACATATAAAAATGGAGAATTCACATAGTTAAAATATTAACTAAAATGAAGTGCTAAATGAAAGGATGAAAATATACAGAATATAAGTAGGCAATCAAGCAGAAACGAAGATTTGAAAATTATTACATGAATAAAAAGAGAAAGCTGAGAGTGGCCCGTGGATAATTGCCAGCTGCACTGTATTAATCATCTATCTATACTTGGGCTCCAGCATCTGTCCCGTGGATAATTGCCAGCTGCACTGTATTAATCATCTATCTATACTTGGGCTCCGGCATCTGGCCTGTGGATTATTGCCAGCTGCACTGTATTAATCATCTATCAAGGCTTGGGCTCCGGCATCTGGCCCGTGGATTATTGCCAGCTGCACTGTATTAATCATCTATCTATACTTGGGCTCCGGCATCTGGCCCGTGGATTATTGCCAGCTGCACTGTATTAATCATCTATCTATACTTGGGCTCCGGCATCTGGCCCGTGGATTATTGCCAGCTGCACTGTATTAATGATCTATCTAGGCTTGGGCTCCGGCATCTGGCCCGTGGATTATTGCCAGCTGCACTGTATTAATCATCTATCTATACTTGGGCTCCGGCATCTGGCCCGTGAATTATTGCCAGCTGCACTGTATTAATCATCTATCTAGGCTTGGGTTCCGGCATCTGGCCCGTGGATTATTGCCAGCTGCACTGTATTAATCATCTATCTAGGCTTGGGTTCCGGCATCTGGCCCGTGGATTATTGCCAGCTGCACTGTATTAATCATCTATCTATACTTGGGCTCCGGCATCTGGCCTGTGGATTATTGCCAGCTGCACTGTATTAATCATCTATCTAGGCTTGGGCTCCGGCATCTGGCCTGTGGATTATTGCCAGCTGCACTGTATTAATCATCTATCTATACTTGGGCTCCGGCATCTGGCCCGTGGATTATTGCCAGCTGCACTGTATTAATCATCTATCTATACTTGGGCTCCGGCATCTGGCCTGTGGATTATTGCCAGCTGCACTGTATTAATGATCTATCTAGGCTTGGGCTCCGGCATCTGGCCCGTGGATTATTGCCAGCTGCACTGTATTAATCATCTATCTATACTTGGGCTCCGGCATCTGGCCCGTGGATTATTGCCAGCTGCACTGTATTAATGATCTATCTAGGCTTGGGCTCCGGCATCTGGCCCGTGGATTATTGCCAGCTGCACTGTATTAATCATCTATCTATACTTGGGCTCCGGCATCTGGCCCGTGGATTATTGCCAGCTGCACTGTATTAATCATCTATCTATACTTGGGCTCCGGCATCTGGCCCGTGGATTATTGCCAGCTGCACTGTATTAATCATCTATCTATACTTGGGCTCCGGCATCTGGCCTGTGGATTATTGCCAGCTGCACTGTATTAATGATCTATCTAGGCTTGGGCTCCAGCATCTGGCCCGTGGATTACTGCCAGCTGCACTGTATTAATCATCTATCTATACTTGGGCTTCGGCATCTGGCCCGTGGATTATTGCCAGCTGCACTGTATTAATGATCTATCTAGGCTTGGGCTCCGGCATCTGGCCCGTGGATTATTGCCAGCTGCACTGTATTAATCATCTATCTATACTTGGGCTGCGGCATCTGGCCCGTGGATTATTGCCAGCTGCAGTGTATTAATCATCTATCTATACTTGGGCTCCGGCATCTGGCCCGTGGATTATTGCCAGCTGCACTGTATTAATCATCTATCTATACTTGGGCTCCGGCATCTGGCCCGTGGATTATTGCCAGCTGCACTGTATTAATCATCTATCTAGGCTTGGGCTCCGGCATCTGGCCCGTGGATTATTGCCAGCTGCACTGTATTAATCATCTATCTATTCTTGGGCTCCGGCATCTGGCCCGTGGATTATTGCCAGCTGCACTGTATTAATGATTTATCTAGGCTCGGGCTCCGACATCTGGCCCGTGGATTATTGCCAGCTGCACTGTATTAATCATCTATCTATACTTGGGTTCCGGCATCTGGCCTATGGCCCCTGAGTAAACTTTGCTGAAAAGCCCTGCCCCAAGCTGTAGGCCTATACAAAAATCTAGCACTTATCCTTTTCTTTGCCATCTCTAATTCCTTCTTTATTTTTACATAATAAGTTGAGTTTAGAGCACACATCAAAGCACTCGGGACATTCCTATAAGTGCTCTGATCCCTCTTCAGCAGCCAATGAAGAGTTCCAATGCTGAGGGTACTTGTTGCAGCAAATTTTATTATATGTCCATCATGCCTTTTCTCTGAGTGCAGAATGTTGGCCAGATCTCCTGGTGACTACCCATTGCATCACTCTCTAGATTTAGAATAGGAAAACTACTGACATTCTTAACCTCTGCCTTCTTTTCTCTTCTCTTTATGTCAATCCTTCAAATATTTCTTTCATCACATGGATTCTAAACTAAGATCAGAATTCACAGCCACATGTTAAAATTGGTCTTATGCAGTATGCAAGAATTCTTTATCTAACCTCATTTTATATACACATTTTTGTAAATTCACGTTAGTCAGTTACAGCTTAAAGATTTAAAATGTTTAATCTGGTTCTACACTAAAGTAAATTTATGTGATGTCATTTCTTCCTGAATAATTAAAATGTTAAACTTGCTGAAAGCTTAAACCCATAAATTTTCTAGATAATGCCATCTAGGCTAGAAAGTAGGGGGCAATCAATCAATATGTAAAGATATGCTCTGACAAGAACATAGGAGATAACAAAATGGTAAGCAATACAATACTAATAACTACTGGTCAGGTGGCTGTAAACGGACGAAGCTAAAACAGTAACAAATAATCACTGCTGTAGTTTATGCATCATTTTTATCATCCACGCTGAAAGGTATAAATAATAGGGATAGAGGGAAGAAGAAGATAATCCATAAATAAAAAAGACAAATCTGCTCAATTTAGGAGTCAAGGAGCAAGTATTACTGCCCTTCCCAATATGCCTGTCTTGTGATTGAATCTTTCCCTGCATGGATTCTAGGGACCCATGGGGGGGGGGTGGGGGGGGGGGGGGGGTAAATCTGTAGAGGCTTAACTTCTCTCTCTCACTGGATCACATGCATAGTCTTCTCAGACAAGAATAAAAGAATATGAGGGCCAATATTATCTCACATCAAGATCACAGATCATCAAATGCTGAAAATAGTAATGACAGAATATTTACAGCACGTATACCACTTACGTGGTTATGCCGATGATAGGGAAAAATACCACGGTAACTTACAAGGCTAAATTTATGGGCAGTTATTATCTACAAAGCTATTTTTATGACTAGGTGACAGTAAAATGTGCCACCATTCAGATTAACATGACAAAGAAATACATGAACAAATGTGAACAGAGTTGCAGACAGAAATTAAAAATGAGACCAGTGAAATATTTTGGCCATATTAAAAGATACAATGCTCCTATAAAAAAAACTATACTGGAACGGGGGAGGGAGTTAAAGGCAAGAGGCAAACACTAATACAAGTGGGGAAAAAGACATCAAGAGATGGATAACAGAGTCTGAGAGTTTACATTCAAGGCAAAAGACATAGTGTGTTGGTGATCCATCCCAGCCAACTTTCACTGCGGAGACGGCACCTGACTGACTTAAGAGGTAACTTGAATAATAAGAGAAAATAAAAAATTCTGACACAATATTATTCTAAAATCTGTTTTGCCAGGGGCATTTTGGCGAATGATTCACATATACCCTGATATCCTGATGTACCTATTGAATCCATAGGTTTGAAGACATTACACAAACTAAATTATCAGACAGAAGTCGGTCAACCAAGAAATAAGACACAGTTTGTTAAGGCTGCATTTATCTGTACAGAAGAATACAAGAAGAGTGTGTTGTCTTTGGCGTGGTGAAGAACCTTTTACATGCAAGACTATTCTAGGCATATGGTGCTAGACCCAATTGTTACAGACTCACTGACAATGAGTGACATGGTCAACATCACACTTGTCACCTTTACTTTGCAAGGCTTTTCTAGCAGTCACCTTAGATTTGGTCATCTAGGGAACCCAGGTCAATTATAGCAAAATCTCAACTCAACGCACAAACTCAAGACCTTCTAGCTGGCAGGCAAGCATCCACCAACTGCTTTGCTGCATACTGTGAGCTCCAGAATGCATAGTACACAATACAATTTTACAATATTCTTTAAGAGACTTGCAAAAGGCTTTCTCCTTCTTAGTGTTCACTGGCTGCAAACTGCAGCAGAAAGTTCTGGGTGTTTGTTGACTCATAGACTTAAGTCTTGTTCCAGAACTTGAGTTTTGTGTGCACATCCATGTTACAGATCTGGCTTATTTGTATGCAGACTACTGGTTACTTGCCTCTCACGCAGATGCACTCTAACTTTGATGGAAACACTATAAGTGGTCACCTCCTATGACATGCTTGTTTGGGTGGAGGGGCAGTGGGTCTTTTCCTTGTTCTCTCAAATGGAGCCCCAGAGCCAACACAGGCAGCAAAGGTCTTTGATAAACTACTGAACCCAAGCTGGCTAAAACATTACTTCAACATGCATGTATATACAGTCAGCGGCTAGAAGTAACTAATGCTCTAATAAGCGATGGAAACAAAGTTTCTAAATCTATTCTTTTTTGGGTTCAAACAAAAACCTTCGTATGGGCATGTCGAGCCAATAAGCTCCCGTAGCTCCCATTAAGAAAGTGTAATAAACTGAAAATACTGGTTTTGGTAAGCTCAGCTGGATTTTTATACCACAAAGAAACCAGAAAGCATACAAGATGTCAGATGTATCTAAAATATTCCTTCGACAATATTACAATTATATATAGCTATGCACCGGTACCATCAGTATTGGAACTCTGCGTTGGCTGCTGAAGATGAGGACGGAGCATGGATAGAAATGCCCCAAGTGCTGTGATGTCAATTCTTGACTCAACTTAATTCATACAGCTATGCCTGTTGTGATTTAGGCGATTGTTTGACCAACAAATAGGTGTCTAGGGATTCATGATAACTTGAGACCCCCCGATTCAAGTTCTATTTATTATATACACTACACAACAATAATATGAGGATGAAGGAAATGCCAATAATCTCTCGTCGCTCTCAATCACAACACAGAGCACTCAAACAATAGTTACCAAAACATTATAACAAGTCCTTGCTAACATGCCTGACACTCAAATCATGGAAACAACGGTACATGAGACGAATACCTCTGAAGACTGAACCAGCAAAAAGTCTGACTAGCCCTACAAATTGGAGCTGGCAACTTGTGACGTTTATAAACAATGATGCAAGCAGGACTCACTAATCACATCAGTACAACAAACCTGTATAAAGTCCAAACTGGCTATCAATCTCCACAATTTGGAGATGATAACCTGCATCTGCAAACGACAAGTCCAGCAGGTCTCACTAATCAAATTTATTTCTGAACAGTTTTAAAAAAAAATTCTAATACTTACCCGTTCAGTATGTGCAAATCACTTTTGCCATGCTGAACGGTGCACAAACACTACGCAGTTCTCGGGGACTACAAGTACTGCGACCTTCCCCAAGTCTCAGCTAGCATTCTGAGTCCCTGCCCTCTCACTTAATATTCTAGTTAATTATCATGAGATAACTGAGAAGATATTCATACGCTAATGTTCCAGTCCCACTCATTCTATTTTCATTCAGGCCTTCTTTTTCTCAAAAATGTATATATATATACAAGTGACACACAACAATGCCAGATTGTAACAATTTCTATCAAATGGTTGTTGAGTAATCACATTTTAAATGTGGCATTTCTAAATTAATTATAGTAGTACTAGTAATATATCACTGCAGATGAAAAGTAATGGTACATATGACACTGCTCAGTTCAGGAAATGTTTCATTTATTAAACCATCTACAGTTTAGCGTCTGTTATTCCTTGTGTGAGTTCAGCAGCCTCACTGTCAATTTAACACACTGCTCACAAAGGGTTTACTGAGATCAGACTGGGTGGGCTATAATGCAAACGAGCTGATTAAACTACAAAAACAAAACCTGCCAACCACCCTTTCAAGTGTAAGCAAAGCTGAAATATCTTTCACTCATGCAAAACCATATAACTGTTACCACACACAGCATGGTGAATTATGTTGAACAATTATGGGCACATAACCAATCAGAACTTATCAATTGCTAGGCACCGTTTGCACTACCTAAATATATTACATACATCCGGCTATCCACCCAGAGGTGAACATATTCAGACTAGTCTAATATGAATTTATCTTTAAAAATATTATTTGTAATGATTCAAGACCAATCTGTATATCAGAGCTGGCTTTTGCAAACGATGTGGCCCTGATAGCTAAATCAGAGGCACACCTTCAGTCCAACTTACTTGTCTGGAAGGAAGAGCTTGAAAAGAAAGGGATGACCATCAGTATCTCCAAAACTAAAACCATGGTGATCTCAAGAGAGGAGGAGAAACTCCCAGATCATGATGGGACAGTATGCATTGGAGCAGGTTAACCATTTCAAATACCTTGGAGTTGTACTAGACCAAAACGGAGGCATTAAGTCTGAGCTGGCTACACAAAATTTTAGGACGAAAAATTTTGTTATTTGAAGCCCCACCCTGGCTTTTGCCAGGGGCCGCAATATAAGCAGGCCATAAATATGGCAAATTGTCTGAACACAGTTTTTGAGACCTCTCCACGGTGATCCTCATCCACATGTTGGCACTTTGTGTCATCGGGTGTTTATCGCTTGTGATGTCCTGGTGTGGTAGAAAGTCAGTCAAAGTCAGTGTTAGCTTTAACTCTAACCTTAACCCTTATTTCAAACAATACCCACTTCGGCTGTTGAGGAGGCCCCAATATAACCCAACCTAAGGGATGAACAGGGTTCCTGAGACTCTTCCCGGGTGATCCTTACCCAAATGGAGCACTTTGTGTCACCGGGTATTTCTTGCTCCGTGTGATGTCCTAGTGGCGTTGAACGTCAGCCAATCACAATCATAATTAATTTTATTTATAAAATTCATTTAACACATGATACACTGTCGCCAAACTCGACTGTGAAGATAACATAAACATGAATTTATTATTTGTAACAACAAAGTTGTTTAAATATTTCGGAAAGTCAGTTATTTTGTCGCTCGATAAATCACCAGTAGAAAAAACTAAAATTAAAATTACGTAACAAAGAATTTATGGATGGCAACTGAATAAACAGCTAGCTTGGGTTTTGAAAAAAAAAATATTATTATGAGTATACCACAGCCTGTTCCATATTCCAATAGCTAATAAATTAATAACACTAAACAATCATAACTGTAGAAGTCTGAAATAATACTAACGGTGTTAACTGATAATAGACATAATATTGCAGAGAGCTGGTGCGTCAGCCCATCTGTTTTGGTTGCCATCTTGTTGACCATTGACCCCATTTTCGTGGCCCGGTAAGCTTATAAAAGTGAGCCAAACATAATAAATTTGCTCTATTAAGTGTGTCGTTCTTTTTAGGACGAAATTTTTTTATTTGAAGCTCCATCCTGGCTTTTGCCAGGGGCCGCAATATAGGCTGGCCATAAATATGGCCAATTGTCTGAACGCGGTTTCTGGGACCTCTCCACGGCGATCCTCATCCACATGGTGGCACCTTGTGTCATCGGGTGTTTATCGCTTGTGTGATGTCCTAGTGGGGTAGAAAGTCAGTCAGCCGTCAATAAACTTTGACTTTATTATTTATCAAAACGTAATAGTTTTATTTTTAAATCAGTCGTCTAATATTGTTTTCGTTTGTGCTAACATGCGTTGTGCTGTTAACAACAGAACCGCGATATTTGCACCTTCTGGCTGTCTTGGCAGATAAACACACACTCGCGCACACATATATACACTCACGGACGCTATCACGCACCCACAAACACATGCGTTCACACTCTCGCTCTTACGCACCACACATCCACACTCATTTAGACACCATATAAAGAGGCCCAACCCCCCCCTCCCCCACCCACCCCCACCCTTTCCCCACTACTGTTGTCAAGAGACTAAGAAATTCCCTTCAACCATTTACAGAAATTCGCTTTAAATGTATCCATTTATAAATTTCATCTGGGGTTGTTTTCTGTTTTTTTTTTAAACTACACACAGCAACAACAACAACAACATAATAAACGAATGAAAAAGAAAAGAGCCACTGCTCATCCCAGTCTTTTCGTCTATTACAGTATTTCCCACACTTGTAACATATCCTCCAACAAACCCTCGTGGTCGCAAAAACATTTTAAAAAGAAGAACAAATCCATGCCTAAACTAGCCAAGAAGCGCAAGACAAATACAAAAAAAAAAAAAAAACACCACGACACTGGGCTACAACCTGGTAACAGTGGGACGACAAAAAAAAAAAAAAAATAATTCTCGTCTTCTTTTTGCATTTGGTATCCACTGTAGTTGATGCTCTTTTAGCAGTCACGGTTCATGGCTCCGTGTGTTTTGTAAGACTGAACTGAAATGATAATGTCCAATAATCATGATGATCAGAAGTGCAAAAGTTGTATATGTATGTAAAACGAGAAATGAGAAGAAATGATCTGAATGAAGTCAATACGAGGTTCATCACAGAAAATCCCCGTTTACATTCGCTTGATGATACTGTGTTTTAGTGTAGAGGGATGGTTGTCCTTATAATGCAATGTTTATATCGCCACCGGTGATACTGTCATGTCTCAAAAACTACTTTTTTTTTCAAAGATTCTGAGAACTGATCAAGTACTGCTGCTGACTGTCCGGGTCGCCTATTAGCTTGCTAGTAGACTTCCTCGTCGCCGGCCGGGACAGTTATTTGGATCGTCTCCTTTGATCTCACCACGGCCAACTCTAGATATAAATAGCCTGAAGATGGGCGTGGATCTCACCAACACTGCAGGAGTCCTTTGCTTGTGGCATTCAATGCTAAACTATTTTTATGGCGCACATAACCTAATCACAAATATAACCTAAAGCTGACTTTTCAAACTTCCTATAGGCCACATATACAGTGAAATATATCGTTATTGACTTGGTCGTCTCAACCCTCTATTGCACTTTAACATACATATGCGTTTCACAGATTCATTGGCCCTGTGTTTCCTATCCTTACGAGAGAAACAGATTTCCCCCGCTTACACAGAGGTGCTTGTTCAACTAGGAGCTAGGACCAAATATAACTTGCAACTGACCCCCGCTTACACAGCGGTGCTTGTTCAACTAGGAGCTAGGACCAAATATAACTTGCAACTGACCTCCGCTTACACAGCGGTGCTTGTTCAACTAGGAACTAGGACCAAATATAACTTACAACTGACCCCCGCTTACACAGCGGTGCTTGTTCAACTAGGAACTAGGACCAAATATAACTTGCAACTGACCCCCGCTTACACAGCGGTGCTTGTTCATCTAGGAACTAGGACCAAATATAACTTGCAACTTCTTCTTCTTCTTCTTCTTCTTCGATCCTTCTGTCAGAAAACTTATATCAGGAGGCCGGTAGCCTTTATGAAAGCTATCGTGCAATCCATATCCTCTCGTGTACCATACAGTTTTGTCTTCATTGTGGTTGGAACAGGCCAGATTGCGTCTCTGTTGTCAGCATACAGTTGACAGTGTTGGAGCACATGCTCAGCATTTTCGGGTGCCACGCTGCAGGGACACGTCTCCGTATTTCCTGCAACTGACCCCCGCTTACACAGCGGTGCTTGTTCAACTAGGAGCTAGGACCAAATATAACTTGTAACTGACCCCTCTCACAAATTTTGTCTGTGTGTTGGTAATGACAAAATTGGGAAAAGCATGATCGGCCGTGACAGTCGGCATGGCACTTGATAATAACACTTTCATGTGTATTGAAATGCTGTAAGTACGAAAAGTACTTATTTTGTTGATGAAGATGGGTCCTTGTTGCCTAGTTGTCAGGAACGATTTCGTTTCCGTTGATCAAGAGCTGCCAGGTCGTAATCAGCATCACTAGTTATAGGGGTGGATGGGGGGTGGCGGGCAGGAAAAACAGTCGGTGCTGTATTAATATCCTACCCCAAACAGAAGAAATCCACAGGTCACAGGACAGTCTAATGTTTCAGGGGGTGGTAGATGCATTCGTGTGACTTAAGCTGCACTCTCTCGTGGGACGTAGGTGGGTTGGGTTTAGGGTCAGTTCTAGGTGTTTTGGGGACGTTAAAAGCATCATAAAGCCGGGAAACCCAGTCTTAAAGCCCTCTAAAATGTTGCACTGTACTGGAACGTCATCTTTGGGTAGGATATTAACAAAGAACCAAACAGCGAAACACAATACAAAATGTGCCATAAATAGCAAATATACTCAATCTCGCCATTTTGTCAACAGCAAGGGTGATTGAACCAGGAGCACCACCTCACCTACCCACCACCCATTTTTTTTAAATGAAAATTTTTAATGGAATAAATGAACCCTCCCCCCCCCCCCCCTTCCCCCAAAAAATATGAATAGGGGTATTTTTATGTATTTCTGTATACACTTCATATTATTTCAAATATATTAATATATTTATTTCCCTTCAGCAGGTTATTATTATTATTATTATTACGCAACGTAAACAAGGCTTAGTTGTTTGTTTCCTCGCATATAGAATATTTTATGTCGGTGCCTCTTACCCAGTGATATACCGATGTACAATAGGACGGGATACTTTAAAGCGGATGCCTCTTGAAATACCGTACATAAATAAACAAATAAACAGGTTCGATTCCCGGCACGGTAACTAGAGCTTTCGTTTCTAATGTTATTTAGTGTGTCCTTCTATCTCTCTACTTCTTTCTGTGAGTGCGCATCAATACATTGTCTCTTTATTAATTATATTGAAATGCCTTAGTGCTGAATTGGCGCTGAATATCAGTGGTTCACGTTGACACCTGTATGGCCAACTATTGCAGCGGTTCTCAACCTGTGGATGGCGACCCTTTTAGGAGTCTGTTGCGTGCAGATTTGCACTTGAACACAACAATATTGACTACGCAAATAGGATGTCATAAGCATTGCGTATTGTTAGGAGATTTTAATCTAGGAGATTCGCAGACGAGAAGTTCATGAAGGCAGACGTGTGGTCTGGCCATGCTGGATCATAGAGGACCATTTACCCCCGGATTCCACGTAGAAATTCAACCTAGTGCTGTGGCGTTATGCCATCTCTGCAGGAAGTAGGATTACTTCATGCTATTGTTTCAAACTCAGCGATACTGCAGGCGAATCACATAGGAACGACATGCTCGTGTTTATGAGTATTAGACTGCAAATGGATCGGTTGAAGTAACCGTTAACGTTTAAAGGTCGAGACACTGTGAGGTAAAGTATCAATGATTAGATGTTCAATCTAATCTTCATCTCCAATTTGTGTGAGGGCGTTAGAAGTGATTTACTATTTGATCACGTCGGTAAGTTCATATGTATTATTTCACGTTCGTTCGCCATGTTAATCCTAAAATCACAATACTCCTTTGGGTTCCTAAACTGCCTAGTGACGTTCAGTCGAGAGTATTAACACCGTTGAAATGGTTGGTTGTTGTTCCCGTCACACAGTTGCAGGTAGAGTTCCAGACTGTTGTCACTCTTTACTTCGATTGAGAAGTGTTTCATTCTTCGAATCACACTGAATTTAGCGTACAAGCTCACTGGTGTTGAAGTTGGTTGGGACAAAGACTATCCCTACTCAAGTATCATGAAAGCCTCGCAATCAAACCTCCCTAAGCACCTTGGCGCACTGAACTATGGAAGCTTCGTTCAATTATCGTTTGCCCCAACCGTCACAAATGTGATCCTACGCATCTCATCATCGTTTACCGCTACCGCCACATGGTCGAACGACCCATTCACATGGGTCGCCTGAGACCATCGGAAAACACATACTCACTGAGGTTATTAAGTAGCAACGGAAATAAATTTATTATCGGGGGTCACCACAACATAAGGAACTGTATTAAAGGGTTGCGGAATTAGGAAGATTGAGAACCACTAGACTACTGGATTATTGGCTAGTTTCATCTTGTAGTTACGTCAAGTTTGGATGTCCTGCATGCAAGCATTCTCGTGTACGAGGGTGGGTGATTTTTTTCACCCTGCGATTTGTGAGGATCACGGATAAATCAATAGGAACTATCCGTGTAAAGGAGTTAGTATTGGTCTCAATTTAATTAGAAACCAGTTGACAGGACAGTAAAGTCTCTGTCAAACACAAGAACATAAGGGCCGAATAAAACTACTTTCTATTTCATTGATGGTTAAAATATTATAAGCCGATACTGTGTTACAGTTAAATAACTCGTAGAAATTTGTAAATGCTAAATAGGGCGTATAAAATAAAAAGTTAGTTGTGTAAGCAGCTCGAAGCAACCAGAAGATCACGAAGCTGATCTTATATCTCCCTCGACACCCGAAGCAGTGAAACAGGACGTAAAGAAGAAGTTGCGTATCCTTTACAGAACATTGCAGAACCAACCCTAGCATTTATTGGCTGTTGTGGTTTTTAGGTTCAGTCGTTTGCCGTTGCTCTCTGGCCATTACGAAGCGCGTTCGCAAAGCATAAGCTCCACACACCGACTCAATTGTTACGTAATCAGAAAATGAATACTGAAATGTTTCAACAAGCCTGTTCGGTTGTATGGCAGTGAATCTTGGAATGTGAGCAATTTAAGTAATGTTTGGAGGCAACTAAGATGTGGTTCTTGGGAAGAATGTTGTGAATACCTTGGATAGCCAGAATAACAAAAATGATTGCATGGAAAGGCTAATGAAAGTAGAACATTATATGCAACAATGAGAAGGAGACAGACAAAGTTCTTTTGTGATTTGTTGAGAAAAGGAGTACTGGAAAATATCGTGACGACTGAAAATATCACTGGTAGAAGAGGCAGAGGCTGGCCAAGAGAAATGATGGCGGATGGCCTAAGACAGTGGCATAGAGGAATATCAAAAGTGGAATTGATCCAGAGCCCCAAAGACCGAGATCTGTGGCGATGCATGAACGCCTACGCAAGCTGGCAAGGTACTTGATGATGATATTGCATAGGCAAAAAATTACAAAGCTAACTGATGTTGGTATATAATTTCTTGGATTCCTATTTTAATCCAGAGAGCAGGAACATTTCTCATTGTCTTTAAAATTTGAAGTATATTTCTTCTGTGCACTGGGAATTTATAGACATAAAGACATAAATTGTGTTTATTTCATTTAATGTCACGACTCGCGTTTGTGTCTTTGTTGAACGTTTGTTAGTTATTTAGGGTCGGGATTGTATACCAGTTGTAATAATTCAGCGACGAATACAATAACACGTTTTAATATATGCGTGCTTGTTGAGCCTAACTTTGTTTTGATTAACATTACAGTTGAAACGATGTCGGTGTTACAAGAAGTGACATGTCTGAATGAAATACACTACAAATAAAACAACAGAAAAAAATACAATATACTATAATTTGCAAAAGGAAAACTTAAAAGTATATATACATTTTACTGGATATACACAGCTTAAAAGAATGCAGCATCATCTTTAAACCAATTTTAATTAAAAACAAAAGCAGAAAGCCGCTGCTAGTATCCGCATTAATATTCTTTTAAAGGTGACAGTAACGTGTGGCCCTATGCAATTTAAGGTCGAATTATAGTTGCTTACATAAAGACTTCTTCCGCTGAAGCATAAACCAGCATTTTAGATTTACATGCTGGCAATATGCGCATAATGTTTACGATCAGCGTAAGTTATCATCACTACTCTTTGTTTTAATTTAACTATTTTGTGTGTGGTTTCTTATTTTTTTTTAGCACTCCGAGCCCTTGAGGTTCATTGCTGCAGATATCACCCGCCTCAATTCATCTCTGTGGTTGGCTTTTCTTTCCACTTGACACAAGATGTTTGCAGGTCTTTCAGGACAGTATCTCCCCACCCCATCTTGTTCTACGACCATTCAGCTCCCTTGTGTATAACATTATAACCTCTCTGTCATCTGACATTCTCTCAGTATCCCTCAGCAATTTAAGTCTATTATTTCTCATGATTAATGGTGTGTGAGGTTTAAAAAACAAAAACAAAAAATAATTATAATTAAATTGACTCTCCTGGACTGTTACCCGAAGTGGTAGTATTTTGTTGTGGCTTGGGAACAAGTAATTTATGATGTTCTTTGAAGTCATTTATGTTTAGTAATATTTTTCTTTTTATATTTAATACTTCATTATCAGACATCATTTTCATAAATCAGTAGAATGAGCCCCCCCCCCCCCCCCCCCTCCCCCCCCCCCCCCCCCCCCCCCCCCCCCCCCCCCCCCCCACTTCCCAGATACAAGCAACAGCTTATGTATAAAGCAAGTGAGATCTATAATAATTTGTGTAATTTACAAAGAAAGTTGAATTCTTTTCAGAAATATCTCAGTGTAAGCTTTAAAAGTAAACAGTAAAACGATTTGTAGAACGTGTACTGTTATGTGCATGCGAAACGTGCACAATAAGCAGTGCAGCTGCGGTACAGTTATGGCAGCTGAAATGTGTTTTCTGACAAAAAATGCGAAACTTTTAAAAATAATCATTATGTATGTTGTCAATAACCACATCTTGGCTGATGGTTGGTGTTTTAAGATTTAAAACCGAACGGAAAGTATATAAGCAAGCTTCACAATATAACAAAAACAAAACGTGAACGTTGCGGCTATGGAGTCTTCATCAGTACCATTATAAATCATACAATACCACTCAAATACACAAAATCACTTAGCTTAGTATTTTGCAGAAGCCAGGTCGATGAGTAGAAGTATATTAAAGGAATTGTAAAAAAAAAAAAAAAAAAAAAAAAAAAAACTGTAATAGTATACAATAAAGACGAGTGTGACAAACATATAGTAGCAATTCTAGGCGTGCTGAACACACTGGGCGAATCAAATGTAGAAAATTTAGAATATTTTGACACCTTAAGAGAAGAAACAATCTTGACATTTGGTGATCACCGGTTTACGTTGTGGAGAATAATAATAACAATAATGGGAAGACAAAGAGATAAATACCTAGATGGTATGACTACATGGCTGACAAGTATTTCTAAATACAGATCCGTGATTTTAGTGATCGAGTGAGATGGCCTAATATGACTTACCCGCATGGCACAAAATGATATTCAATCGACGTGTTTGCAACCAATAATTTGCGTCAATTTCATCAAGGCTTGTTCTATCAATGCAGAGATTTAACAAAACGAAGTACCTACGACACTGCGCCTGCACCAGGGCCGTCTTAACAGCATTATGGGCCCATGGGAAAATCAGTGTGCTGGGGCCCCTATGACAACCACTCACATTAATTAAATGTCTATGGTCGATAATGTTGCACATATATTTTTTTTTATTGGCGCAAAACTGATAGGATAGGAAAGAAAGAGAGGGGAAGGGGTGGGGTGGGGGGGGGGGGGGGGTAATTTCTGTTTTATACTACATAGAATTAATTTAAACGTCGAATATATTTGTGTTCGTTGCAAGTCACTTTGCATACATAGATTAGCATGGGGCCCCCTGTGCTCGAAGGAACCCCGGGCCCATGCACTAAGACCGCCTAACCTACACACGAGTTAAAATAAACATGAGATCATATGTCTTGTCAGTCATGGACAGTTAATCAGTCATTGAAGAAAAATACCTGGAAATTTTTTTTTCCCACGAATTCTTAGAATACCATGTACCAAGAAGAAGAAAAACATTGATATTCTACATTCTCTGAATATCGAGAAGGAAACTCTCATAAACAGCATCCTGTCCCGAAAGGGACAGCTGAGCTACTTGTTGCCATGTTCAACTATAAAGTGCCCTGGAAAAAACCAGCGATGGATGGTGCAGTTTCTGGAAAACGAGTCAGAGGTCGATCTACGAATACAAGGAATTGAAGATACTTTGGCTATGAAAGCATATAGCTCTGGAGAACTGGATAGAGATAGATTTTCGAGAAGGACAAAATTATCTGATTGATGATCATCACGCTTACCAGTTACGCACAGCAAGCTAAATAAAAAAAAAAACATATTATCGATATTAGGAAAATATGTCAAGAACGCGACTCAAATACAATAATTCAGATTTACATATTGTCTGATCCATTTGTTAGTATATGGATTTGAATTTTTTTGCTTTTCAATATACAGACACATATCATCATCATCATCATCATCATGTAGCAGGTCCTTTGCATAACGTCGCCATCGTCATGGTCTGCCTGAAGGTAACCCAGTCTCTCGCCAGCTCTCCCGCCTCTTGTACTTTCAAATTCAATGAGTCCCTAATATCCTGTGCCCATCTTCTCCTTCCTGATACCATGCCTTCTGCTATTATTTTTTTTCAAGTCCGCCATTGCTTATTGTGACCAAACTATTTCAGCTTCCGGGAGGATATGCTGTTTATTAGCTAATCTCCTTTGATGTTCAAATCTTTTAAAAAGTCAGTATGTCTTTTCTTTATTGTCCTTTGTATTCTGAGAATCCTTCTATGGCATTTCAGTCCAAAAGCACCTATTTTTTTTAAGGACTGGGAGATAGTCCACGACTTGTGCTTCATGTAGCTCATATTGTAGTCTCCTTTCTATCCTCTTTATAGACACATTTAGGATATTTCTATACCCTAGACCAGCGTTTCCCAAAGCCGTTTTTTTTCATTTGAAATTTTTCCAAGGTGCCCTAACCTTAGTAAAAGTATTACTATTCGTGTCTTAGTTAAATTAATTATAAAGCTTTTACGATATTTCGCAGCGCCCCTGTAAAGAGGTCGCAGCTACCCTGGGCGCCGCGGCGCACAGTTTAGGAATCACTGTCCTAGACAGAATCTGTGTTCCTGAGATGCTTGGTTTCATCTTTTCCCTCATTTATCTAGAACTATTTTCATCGATGTATTAAATTATCGTAGAATGTGTAACCAAGACACATATATTTATTCCAGGACTATAGATTGGGATGCGATGTAAGAATGCGGCTTTGTTAATAGGCACGTGATTTTACACATTTCATGCACAATTGCTCCAAGAGGACTAACATCATGTGTGGGCCCAAAACAACTATACAAGGGCTTTATTCTTAATTTGCAAATTAAATGGTCGCCATTGTTAGCAGAGAACAATGGAAGCACAGCAAAAATCTGGCGGGCCCGTAGAGTTCGAAAAGACGGATTCTTGGATAAATATTTATATGGGCTATTTATTACGTGTTGCAGCTGATCGCCAATATTTGTGCAGTGATTGAGTATCTTGCCGTTACGTGACTGTAAATAAAGACGATAAGGAAACGTGAGCAAAACCTGAGGTAGGGCTGGATTTAGAATTGATAAAGCCCAGGTTTTGAGGTTTTGAACAACGCATTAACATTATGGCACACGGGTGTAACACATATGTGCTCTGTTCTTCTTCTAATTAAAGTTTGAGTCCGAAGAAACCTAGCACAGTGCACAGACTCTTTAACACCGGCGAGGACCCTGAAATACTTTACGTAGATTTCTAACTCCAAATTTTGTCCGGACAGCGCCATTAAGCTACTATTTTCGATTTCCAACTGCCAAGGGATTTTTTTACACTACCTAGAGACCAAGGAGAACTGCTAGAAGTCCCGTCCACGTGAAAAAAAAAATCCCAGGCCTTACCGGGAATTCAACCCGGAAACTCTAGGACTCGAGGCGGACACCATGCCTCAAGACCACGCAGCCCAAAGCTAAATAAAACCACAAGGTCCCTATTGTTTTAAATTCAGAAGTTAATCTCAGAAAACTGTAAAATATATAAGTTAATAAAACATGGATGCATCCAGAACTACCGACGCAGGCGCTATACATGAAAAGATGTGAAGTAAAATCAAGAGGTCTTCCTTTGAGAATATGGACTGGTGACATTATAGAGCTTCTACATCAAAACAAAATGACAAAAGCCATTGCTGCCCACCAAACAATGGATTGCAAACAGTTCCTCCCCAGTGCTTTACGGCAGCAGTGGGAACTGAGGATGAATAAAACATGAAAGCTGACGCATACTAATCTGATTTTCTTTTTCCTTTTCACCAGACTCCAACAAGTGAGAATAAATAAAGTAAAGTGAGTACAAGTAAAGATCTCTTTTCACGCCTTTAGGTGCATCGGGCATATGGGAAGAGCACCCATTTTTTTACAGACCAATCTCACATATATTTATTTTCTATCTGCAGATACTAATCTTTCTCCCAGCGATATTTAGCCCATCCGTGCCAGCACTGAGACTAGAACATGCAGCATCCAGATCACAGCTGCTACAAACGATACTGGAACACGGCCAGTAAGTAGTGAAGTATCTCTTTCCAGGTCTTGGGGGTTGTATTTGGGCATATTATATATTGATTGCCTCCATTCGTCTGATGCAAGAACTCGGTTCTCGCCTTATTGTGAAAACTATACCTGCTGACTGAATAACAAGAATTAGGGCTTTTAAATTTAAATGTTACAGGCACGAGGAGTGGCTGGCTAAACGGTTAGAACGCTGGGCTCTTAAGCAGGGACCTTGGATTGAATCCTCGGTAAGTCTGCGGATTTTTTTTCTGTCGCGGTAAAATACAATTCTCACCTGCATAGTCGTGGCGACAGCAGTCGCCATGTGGCTGTAAATCTTCAGGCACAAAGACCCCCACCACCCACCACCCGCCTACGCTGCAAAAGTTGTATGGTAAAGGCAGTAAATGGCAGATACGGGCACGGATTTTCAGCAGAACCAGAGAACTGAAAATGCATCGACGTGGCTTTTTGGTCCGCCAATGACCAACTCCTTGGCCGGTCGGGTAGGTGGTCGGAAGCAATCAATGCATCAACACTGCAGGAGTCTTTATCAGGCATACTTGATGGCGAGCACTTATTAGCCATGAATGGGGCGCAAAAAAAAAAAAAAAACACAGACCTCAATGTAACCGATGGCTTCCCCCTCGGGAATAGCTAGTTAAACGTGGTCAATTTTTTTTTCCATCAATGAACTTGAAATTTGGAATCGAAAATGTGTACCAAAGAAAGTTTTTATGCCCGTCAATTTGAAATGCTTTAAAACACTAAAGTTGATTCTGGTAATCGTGTAAGATGATGAACTATTACCGCCAACGTTTATTGAAATAGTACATAATTGTGATGCTTAAAGTAGGGTTGAAAAAACGGCTGAAAGCCGTTCACCCCACAAATTCTTAGCTGAAAAGGGGACATCCTATGCAAGTCACTATACTTCCCCTCCCCAACCCTGCAATTCAGGCCCAAGCTATCCTAATGCAGAGAAGTTCAGCTCTTTATAGGGACTTGCCCTTCTTCGGGCGCCAGGGCCATCTCTTTTGTGTCATCCTAGATAAATAACACGCTTCATAATCCCATTTAAGCGACGTCTGTGGTTTAGGCATTGCAAGTCCGACTTGTAATTCCAACGTAGCGCGATGAAATCCACTGCTGGCTGCGTGAATCTTTATCGCGGTATGGGGCGTCGCAGGTCGACCCAGCCTAAAATGGGCACCGGAATGGCTATCCTGGGGAAGAGACGGCCGGCGTAATGCTGACCACATTACCCACCTAGTGCCGATGGTCTTAAAAAAGATGGGCGCTATTCCTATATACCCGATGCGCCTAAAGGCGTGAAAAGAGACGTTATAATCATATCTATATTTGTAATATTATGTATCATAATTCCTCATTAGCACATTTAAAGTTTCTAAAGCTATCAAATCTAATAAAGTCTACAGATATAACTATAAGTGCCCGTTCTATTCTCTTCTTCTTTTCTATTATATTCTATTTAAAACGACAAAAACGGGCCGCATGGTCACTTTAGCTTTAAGGCACTTAAGACAGACACTAATGTACATCATAACAACGGAAATTCAAGACAGTCACGTGATTTTTAAGCTGCTTTCTTTGGGATGGCGGCGTCCGTGGCTTAGGCGTTGCGAGTGACACTCGTAATTCCAACGTACCGCGATCGAAACCCACTGCTGGCTGCGTGGATTTTTTATCATGGTCGACCCAGCTTAAAATGAGTACCAGGATGTACATCGTGGGAAAGTAAAGACGGCAGGCGTAATGCTGACCACATTACCCACCTAGTGCCATTTGGTCTGAAAAAATGTGGGTGCTCTTTCCATATGCCCGATGGGCCTAAAAGCGTGAAAAGGGATCTTTACTTTACTTTTGGGGAGGGGGGGGGGTGGGGGATGTAGAGTTTGGTTTGAACAACGGATCAACATCATGGCACATGGGTAATAACCCATAGGTGCTCCGTTCTAGTTCCAGCTCAAGCCTGAGTCCTAAGAATCTCAGCGCAGTGCACGAACTCCGTAGCACCGGCAAGGATCCTGTAATATGTATAGTGTAACTAGAGAAGACAATGTGATTTGCTTATTTTAATGGAAAGAACATTTTATTTTTATTTGTTTATTTCTTAGGCGCCATTATATGTTGATGTAAGTTGGTAGTAATACACCTGACCGGCTACAGCAAAGTATGGCAGACAATAAATTGTTGCAAAGAATTACTTGTGTCAGCATTATTTAATACACGGTAACAAACAGCAATTCTTTACACAGAAATATCCAGGGACTATCTAAGCGTCCCGAAGGCATACCAGATCACCCACTCGAACTGCATTGTTGTCCATCTGAAACACATATCATCCATCCTAGAGGAGGCATATCTAGAGAAGGGAAACTGGTCGAACTCTATCGAAACTACCGCACATTGCAGACATTCTACCAGACTTCGTGTAAACCAAACATAGACGCTCGACCTTGCCGCCTTATAGACGAAGAGAGGCAGCCATTTTCTCGGTGTGTTCAGAAGTATACTTACGTGTACGCTTTCATAAGAACTTTCAATATCTCAGAAAGCTACAGGCTAGATTATGTTCGCCTGAAGACGGGATGTTCCTGCGAGCTGGTGTATCAACATCTTTAGATAGCGTCATTTATTGTATACTCTGTATGAAAGTACTGTTTGGATAAGAATTAGGTATAAGAAATAACTCATTTACAGAGGGCACTTTTACACGCATTAAGATGTATTTGGTATGTGTTACTAGTTCCATAATTATAGATCAGGCGTAATTTGATAATTTTTGCATCCATCAAAGCTAGAAACACAAGAGTATGGAGAGAGAAACAGCAGCGAAAGTCATAATTTGTTTAAAACACCACTAATTACTGGCATCATATGGTCAATAGACTGTAATGGCTGCGGCACATACAAATAATAGCAGATAACAGAGAGAAAGAAGATGTGTACACATGCGTTTACAAGTTTAAAGGGAACAGACCATCAGGTAGACCAAGAAGACGATGAAGAGATAATATACATGCAAACATGTTTACCTGGAGTCATCAAATACAAAGAAAAGTCCACTCACAGAGATGAATGAAGGAGAGTGATATATGCAGCAATGAACCTCAAGGACTCGGCTCAAAATGCTAAAGAAGAGGAGAATTTGTCAAATGATTGGTGATGTTGTAATGTCATGCCGTGACGATTTTTGTTCACATAGCATCTTCTGGTAACTATTTTAGGCATTATTGGCCTGAGAAGCAATATCTATGTTTAAAAAAAAATCTTTGCTGCAAGGGGCACTTGAACTCATGACCACCAGGCGGTCAGACGATCGTACTAGCTGGGTCCTTTCCAGCACATAACTGCATTAAACCCGGCTGGTGTAGTAGTTACTGGTACCCTAATTATAATTTCTTTGGAGGTTGAACAGGGTATCTGGGATTTGCCTTGTTGGTCGGCCGCCGGTCCGTATTGAGATTTAATAATTTCAGGATGGTGTCCTAGTTCAAACAACTTGGAGTTGTTGTAGACCGGAAGGAAGGCATTAAGGCAGGGCTGGCTACGCGAAAAAGCAGCTTCTAGGAGACTTTTCCAGGCACTGTGGTGAACATCATGCCGGCTACCTTTACTTTCCAGGACTTTTACCTGGTACCCACTCAAGGCTGGGTCGACCTGGGAGCCAAAGTCGTTTTTTGAAAGAAAAAAAAAAGGCCACCTCTGTCAGGTCTATACCTAAGGACCTTCTGATCCCCAGGCGAGCTCCCAGCTGCTACACCACATTGGCCCCTGTGATTTATTGAATCTGCTTTAAGTTAGGACGTTGAGATTTTTATTTCATATTACACATTAACAATCGTTGTCCTTGTTTCGAAATAAATGTTCGTATTAATAAAGTGCATATTTTGGTAATTGCAAATGTTTACGTTGTTAAGTCTCTACCAAACACTAGTTAAACTGCCATTTTTATGCACCCCTAACCCCCAGTCCCGTCAACCGCTGGAGAATGCATTAAATGAAAATAATCTTCGTCTAAACTGCATAATCTGAAAGCTAATATGAAGAGCTCTTTTTCATTTGTAAGCCTTCAGACTCAGGGGCGTCTGTGTATAGTTTGATTTATACTAAACATGTCTAAGTTAGGAATCATTTTCCAATTCTCCTCCTTGCTGCTCAGATTGTATAGGATGTCTGTGTTTTTCTTCTCCTTATTCTAAGAATTTTTCGGCAGCATTTCAGTTCAAAAGCTCTGATTTTGTTCTTCATTGATTCAGTAAGAGTCGTTGACTCACGTCAACAAGCTGCCACAGGGAAAATGCATGATCTCGACATGTTTACTTAAACTTGCTTGCAGGTGCCCTGCCACAGGGAAGAGACCCCAGAGAATGTAAAAAGCTCTTCCAATATTTTAACGATTTTACTTCTTATGCTGTGGGAAGTTTTAGATTTCTACATTTTGTAGACTACGCCATGCTCGGCTACGTGGCCAGCTCTCCTGCACGGCTATGTGGCCAGATCTCCTGCACGGCTATGTGGCCAGCTCTCGTGAAGCCAGCTCTCCTGCACGGCTACATGGCTAGCTCTCCTGCATGCCTGCGTGGCCAGCTCTCCTGCACGGCTACGTGGCCAGCTCTTCTGCACGGCTACGTAGCCAGCTCTTCTGCACGGCTATGTGGCCAGCTCTTCTGCACGGCTATGTGGCCAGCTCTCCTGCACGGCTATGTGGCCAGCTCTTCTGCTCGTCGCATTAACGTTTATAAACTGCATCATTTCTAGATCTTTGTATGTCGGGGGTAAATAACCCTACCCCCTTCTGTTGACCCCTGACCCCTGTCCTGAAAGGCATGTATTTATTCAGGCTTAGTCAAATTCTTCTTTTTCTTATCATTCACCGACTGTAAAGTTCTGGTTGTTCGTCCACTCCTATACTTTGGTCTTGATCCAGAACTTGAGTTTTACGTGCACATTCATTTTAAACATCTGGCTCATTTTTATGCATACTGTTGGTTCCTTACCTCTCAGGCAGATTTACTTCGACTGTAATGTAAACTTCCCTAATTAGTCGCCTCTTACGACATGTCTTTTAGGGGCCAAGTGGGTATGTTCTTTCTTCTCCAAATGGGAGCTCTGGAACATACACTGTAAAGACTTAGTCATGAGTGTATGCTGTTCGGTCCTCAGAGATCATCATCATCAGGTACCTTGCCGACTGGCGTGGGCGATCATGCTTCTCCACAATCTGCGATCTCCTGCTGCATGTATCAGTTCGTGTGCCGACACACCTCCATGCCATGCAACAAGACTGTCAAGCATCTTCTCTCGTTGTCTTCCTCTATCCCTCGTTCCACAGATCTTTCCAGTGGTCACAACATATTCCATTTTCCCTCTTCCCATAACATCGCAGAAAAATGATGACTGTCTCCTTCAAGAGGGAAAAAGTATTGTTAATTTCAGTCATACAAAACGCTTTCTATGACGCCTTCACAACAGGGAAAGTTGGTAGCTGGTTGGAAGTTGTACCCCACCAGGAGATCACAGAAGCGATAAACACCCGGTGACACAAAGGGCCCCCATGCGGATGAGAATCACCCACACACAAAAATCATGTGTTCTGTCACATATCACTCCTGTCGCGTGCCTGATTTAAGGATTTCTACTTAAGAACCAACAGCACTCTGAAATAATTATGTTGAGTCGTTGGCTCGTATTGGTCTAAGAGATGCCCCGTGGCCAATATACGCTCAACTTACTTCAGGAGTAGGGCAACTCAAGTTTTGGCACTACGAAATATATATTATTCCTAGGCACACTTGGCTGGACATTCCTACTACTATAAAAAGATAGCTCCCAGGTTATGATAGTCTACTATCATAACCATGTTAACACATATAACACTTATTACTCACACACATCAATGCTAAACAGTTAGAACGGTGAAACAGGGATACCTAAGTCAGCCATGAAAATGAATGTATGTAATAAGTATAATATTTACACATGTATTAAATAATAGATTCTCAAGAATGTTCATAGACTGAAGCTCATGACTCAGTGACACGACCCAGACATTGAAGCAGCCAGATATAGTCTTGAGGAATACATGAGTTCATCCTTGGAATCTCGTGGAGCTGTGGGAAGAGAGCATGATGATGATTAAACGATCACTTAGCCCAGTTCGTAGGTCGATGCTCCCCTCAGTCCATAGTGATTCGACTGTTGTTGACTCAGGTATCTCTGCCTCTAGTTGATCTGGTACCAGATGATTTCCTCACCATCGAGGACACAGAAACTACATAGGGACTCAACAAGTCTCTCTCACAGGTCAGGTCACAAAAACTGTCTCAGAGCCCAACCAAGCTCTTGAAGACTGGTTCTCTAGATTGATGACACAGATGTCTGCAAATGTCCACTCGTCCTGGAGCTCACAAACACGCTCTTGCCATGTTGAGGTAGTGGCATACAGGGCAGGACATGGTTATGCTTGGTGCATAGAATGGTATGGGTTGGTGGTTGTTGGCTGGACTGTGATTCGTCTGCCTGATCTCTACAGAGGTCTCATCCCAAGCTTAGGAAATCTTCCAAGTTAGAACTGGAACTATGAATGCGCCAAATTCTACTAAGACTGGATACACGTCTTGACACTTTGGGATCAGGCGAAAGAATGGCGTTCTCAAATTCAAACCCGCGTCACTAGGAAAGAAGTTCTTTGTATTCATGAACAAGGGGTAAACCGGTTTCCAGGAATTTTCAAATAAACTACTAGAATTACCCAAACTACAGTTGCAAGTTTGAAAATGAAGATATAATAAAGCAACTAGAGGGTCCAGAAATTACTATTTTTCCAGATAAAGGTATAAATCAATATAAGGGACTATATACCTTTCCGGACGGGTCTAAGTTTGAAATCTTGCTGAGCGCGAGGGATATCAAGTCCCGACTCGCCCACTGTGTATGGTGGCTGCTCATCTCATGACAATGCCACAATTTGTCACCAAATGCACTTCTGGGTAAACTCTAGAAATTATAACTTATTGTCCTAGTGTGGGTTCCGGGGCCCCATTGTGGAGGAAAACAACAATAGACCCACTGCCTACCCAGAAGCATGTCGTAAGAGTCGACTAATTGGGAGCTTCCTTCGAAGTCGGATTGCATCACATAGATCGTCAGATCTGTAAAACGGATGCACACGCAACACTGAGGTTCTAGAACACGACTGCAGTCCAGAAGTGGATGAAAAGCCAGATCTTTCCGCCAGAGTTTATAGCTGGTGAAAGCGAAAAAGAAAAACAAGTAGACGAAGAAGAAGAAGAAGAAGAAGAAGAAGAAGAAGAAGAAGAAGAAGAAGAAGAAGAAGAAGAAGAAGAAGAAGAAGAAGAAGAAGAAGAAGAAGAAGAAGAAGAAGAAGAAGAAGAAGAAGAAGAAGAAGAAGAAGAAGAAAGAAGGATAAGAAGAAGAAGAAGAAGAAGAAGAAGGAGAAGAAGAAGAAGAAGAAGAAGAAGAAGAAGAAGAAGAAGAAGAAGAAGAAGAAGAAGAAGAAGAAGAAGAAGAAGAAGAAGAAGAAGAAGAAGAAGAAAACGTATCGATCCCCCTGTGGGTTTCATGGCCATATGGTGGGGGGGGGGGGGTGGCAAATATAG